GTTTTGTGTTGTTCTTCTCATTGGAGTTTGTAGCTTAGGATGGCTGTAATGCCTGTATATCCATGGACCCTTTTCTCTTCTCTAATCCTTTGTTTTTCCATTTTATTTCACTTCCCTTTCACACCTCTCGCCGTTAATCAACAAGGTGAAGCTCTTCTTTCATGGAAGGGAACCTGGAAGGGAGCCCTCCATGAGTTAAGTAATTGGAATTCCCATGATGAAACTCCATGTGGGTGGTTTGGAGTTCTTTGCAACTTCAACAATGATGTTGTGGAATTGAATTTGCGGTACGTTGACTTGTTCGGAAACGTTCCCTCTAATTTCACCTCGTTATTGACCTTGAATAAGTTCGTTCTATCCGGAGCGAATCTCACTGGTTCCATCCCAAAACAGATTGCTTCTCTTACACAATTGAATTACCTAGACTTGAGTGAAAATGCCTTAACCGGCGAAATCCCAAGTGAGATTTGCAGCTTGATGAACATTGAAGAACTCCATCTCAACTCCAATCAACTCAAGGGTGCCATCCCAGTTCAAATTGGGAACCTCACGAGCTTAAAGCAGCTAATATTGTATGACAATCAACTCAGCGATGGAATTCCAAGTTCAATCGGGAAATTGAAGAATCTTGAAGCGATTAGAGCCGGTGGAAACAAGAACCTTGGAGGCTCATTGCCAGAAGAAATTGGTAACTGCACCAATTTGGTAATGATAGGCCTTGCAGAAACGAGCATTTCAGGCTTCCTTCCACCGAGCCTTGGCCTTCTGAAAAAACTCCAAACAATTGCCATCTACACAGCTCTTCTTTCAGGCCAAATCCCACCAGAAATAGGTGATTGCACTGAGCTTCAATACCTTTACTTATACGAAAACTCCCTTACTGGATCAATACCCAGCAAACTCGGCAAACTTAAAAATCTTGTCAGCTTGTTTCTCTGGCAAAACAACCTCGTTGGAGTCATTCCTCCAGAGCTTGGCAACTGCAATCAATTAGTTATAATCGACGTGTCGATGAATTCATTAACCGGAAGCATGCCCCAATCATTTGGCAATCTCACCGAATTGCAGGAACTCCAACTCAGTGTCAATCAACTCTCGGGCGAAATTCCGGCTCAAATTGGAAACTGTCGGAAGCTCACTCACATCGAGCTGGACAACAATCAGATAACAGGTGCTATTCCTTCTGAGTTGGGCAATTTATCAAATTTAACTCTTCTATTTCTCTGGCGCAACAAGCTTGAAGGTGAGATACCTCCCTCCATTTCCAACTGCCAAAACCTGGAAGCCATTGATTTTTCTCAAAACGGATTAACGGGTCCCATTCCCGGAGGAATCTTCCAGCTTAAGAAACTCAACAAACTCTTACTTCTCTCCAACAATCTCTCTGGTGTTATCCCGTCAGAGATTGGAAACTGCTCGTCTTTGATTCGTTTCCGTGCCAGTAATAATAAGTTGACAGGATTCATTCCTCCGGAGACGGGGAATTTGAAGAATTTGAACTTCTTAGATATCGGCTGGAACCGGTTGACCGGAATAATACCGGGAGAACTATCTGGGTGCGGGAATTTGACTTTTCTTGACTTGCATTCAAATTCGATTGCTGGAAACTTGCCGACAAGTTTAAGTCAGCTTGTTTCATTGCAATTTGTTGATTTTTCGGATAACTTGATTGAAGGGACATTGAGTCCGAATCTCGGATCGCTGAGTTCACTCACCAAACTCGTTTTGAGTAAGAACAGGTTATCAGGTTCCATCCCGAGTCAACTCGGTTCGTGTGTAAAGCTACAGTTACTAGACCTTGGTAGTAACCAGCTTTCAGGGAGCATCCCGGCGAGTCTGGGGAAGATTCCGGCCCTTGAAATTGCTCTCAATCTGAGCTGCAACCAGCTTTCCGGCGAGATTCCTTCAGAACTTGCGGGGTTGGACAAGCTCGGGGTTCTCGACATATCGCACAATCAGCTGACTGGTGACCTTCATTTTCTGGCGGAGTTGGAAAATCTCGTAGTGCTTAATGTCTCGCACAACACCCTTTCGGGGCGCGTGCCGGACACGCCATTCTTCGCAAAGCTGCCGCTCAGCGTCCTCGAAGGAAACCCTGCACTCTGCTTCTCAGGCAACCAGTGCGCCGATTCCTCTTCAGACAGAAATGGTAGCGCGTCCAAACACGCGACGGCAGCGAGTGTCGCCATGGTGGTACTTCTTTGCGCCGCGTGTGCGCTGCTTCTGGCGGCGCTTTACATCATCATGGGACCGACATTGCGGGGCTTTGTTGGGTCCCGCGACAACGATGGTGATGAGGACGTGGAATTGGGCCCACCTTGGGAGCTGACACTGTACAACAAACTCGACTTGTCAATTACTGACGTAGTAAAAAGCCTTACAGCTGGAAACATCGTTGGCCGCGGCCGAACCGGTGTCGTTTACAAAGTGACTCTTCCTTCAGGATTAACGGTTGCAGTCAAAAGGTTTCGGGCATCGGATAAAATATCCACAGGGGCATTTTCGTCCGAGATTGCCACATTGGCAAGAATCCGACACCGAAATATCGTTAGACTATTGGGGTGGGGAGCCAACAGAAAAACAAAACTGTTATTCTACGACTACATGACAAACGGGACATTAGGCGCGCTGTTACACGACGGGGAGTGCGGTGGACCATTGGAGTGGGACACACGGTTCAAGATAGCATTGGGTGTGGCCGAGGGGCTAAGTTACTTACATCACGACTGCGTACCGGCAATCTTGCACCGAGACGTGAAAGTGCACAATATTTTGTTAGGGGAGCGATACGAGTCGTGTTTGGCGGATTTTGGGTTAGCGAGATTGGTTGAGGATGATAACGGAGGTTCATTTTCGGCGAACCCACAATTCGCTGGGTCCTACGGCTACATTGCCCCGGGTGAGTTTTCATTTTCACTTTTCAGCCATCGTTTTCATAGTGATTTATTATCATTACGGTTCTTTTTTAATAACAGTAATGGTAGTGACAGTTAAACCAGTTGGTTATATGATTTTCATTTTGGTGTATGAACTAATTTACTTGGTTCAGCTAACACGTTTTTTATTTGACATGAAGCTAAGCTTTCCAATTTGGTATCATTACGTGGCATTAGATCTCTAATCTCGGGGATAAGACAAATGCGTAATTATATTATAACTATTTCTTAGGTTTGTTTGATTGTTGCTCAATGATTCTTGCAGAATATGCCAACATGATGAAAATCAGTGAAAAAAGCGATGTGTATAGCTATGGAGTAGTGCTTTTAGAGATCATAACTGGGAAAAAACCGGTGGATCCATCATTCCCTGATGGGCAACACGTAATACAATGGGTTCGAGACCATCTAAAGAGCAAAAAAGACCCAGTTGAAATTCTTGATCCTAAACTACAAGGCTATCCAGACACTCAGGTACAAGAAATGCTGCAAGCATTAGGAATCGCCTTGCTCTGTACTAGCAATCGTGGAGAAGATCGTCCGACGATGAAAGATGTGGCGGCATTATTAAGGGAAATTCGACAAGAACCTCCCACAGGAAGCGAGGCCCACAAGCCCACCAGCAATGTTTCAAAAAAGATGGATCAAGCTCCAACATCTTCAGTTACCCCGGCGCAATTGTTGCTGGTTCAAGGATCTTCTCATTGCTCTCTTGCTTAGTCATCTTCTTCATCAGCTAGTTATATCTCAGGANCAAGCATTAGGAATCGCCTTGCTCTGTACTAGCAATCGTGGAGAAGATCGTCCGACGATGAAAGATGTGGCGGCATTATTAAGGGAAATTCGACAAGAACCTGCCACAGGAAGCGAGGCCCACAAGCACACCAGCAATGTTTCAAAAAAGATGGATCAAGCTCCAACATCTTCAGTGACCCCGGAGCAATTGTTGCTGGTTCAAGGATCTTCTCATTGCTCTCTTGCTTATTCATCTTCTTCATCAGCTAGTTATATCTCAAGAAAGCAATAACTGTGTCATTATTATGGAGTAATGATGAAAATTTAAAATTTTAATTATTCTAATATAAATTGTTTGTTAGGAATAGGAGGAGTTATAAAGGGCATGGTGATGATTAGGTATTTGTAAAAAGGTAGCAAGGATCAACCGATGACAAGATGGCAACATCAATGTATAGCAAGTTGAGTTTATTATTGGCAGTGCCTGGAGCTATTATTTCTGAAACTATAAGTTGCTTAATTTTAATGTCAAAAGCAAATGGCATTTTCAATTGAAAAAGGAGGTGAAACAGCCAACTGTTGCTTGAATGGACATGAAAGAGAAAGGGAAAGGAATGGATGTATGGCTATGGGGAAATGTGTGTAATGATTGGGTTTCCATCACCATCGTTCATTTTTAATTTAAAGGATCAGAAGAAACTTCCATGGAGCCATCAAAGGCCCCTCCCCCCACGTGAAAGATCGACATAAAACATACAGGAATCAACCCACGCAATGCCCATCCAACGCCCTAAAAACTAAACCGTCCTTATCCCTTTCAATATCAACCAATGTATCAGTACAGTTAGCACTAGAAACTGTTAAATAGGTGCAAATAATTTTACATGGAATTCTTATAATTGAACAAAGAAATTAGCATGTTATTTTCCCGGCAAGATGAAGAACACCAACGCTTAGTTTTGGTGATGACATTTAAACAACTGATGAAGAAGCATTAATGCTCATGATGACATTAGGGAATGAGCAAACATCAATGTGTTTCTTAATTAGACTATTGTTACGTCTGGCTGGACAGACCACATCTCATTATCAAACAACTAGCACCACAGCTATATATCTCATCCTTTCATTATTGGTACCCTCCATGGATTCAGTCTATATACGACACAGCCAAAGTTGCAAAAATAAGACTTAAATACTGCTTGTAAATAACCACTGCTCGTAAATAACCGGTAAAGAAACAAGAAAACTACTAATTCATCGGCTAATAAATTCCCACCAAAGTCATAAAGGTTTCTTTTACCCAACATAATGACAGAAGAAACGCCATACCAAGTCCAAAATCATATATATAAATATGTCTATATGTATAGATATTATACAACGATGTTAAAGCCTTCCTCACACATCAAAACTCGATTCCATATCTATCCACACTGGATCTTATATGAGAAACTACTTAAATGACGATAAAATGGAAAATAAAGCACCAGATCCGAAAATTACTAAGCAAAATAAACATGTGTTCTCATGGCAGTATATCTATCTTCTGCCCTACTTCTATATGCTGCAGTATCTTGATGTCACAAGGGTGTTAGTTCAGTTATAAAGATCATCATCATCTGCAGCAGCAGTAACTGTAGAGAATGTGTCTGAAGCACCTGTGGCAGCATTCGCTGTTCGATCGGGAAACCGGAACTCGGATCCAATTCCACGAGATTGCTGTAAAGTCTGTGCAAAGAGCTGATACTTCCGGATGTCTGCATCACTGACACTCCGGCGTGCATACTTCATTGACTCCTCAAAGTGTGCCGCTTTAATCTCAGGGACATCATCAATATCATCTTCTTCCATGGCCTCAGGATTCTCACTCTTCCTCCTCTCCCTCTCAATATCCTGTCATTCCCAAAGATCACAAATCAGATACGAATTGAGGAATTGAAACGAGTAAAAAGAACAGGTTCGAAATATAATTTTGGTGAACCATGAGTACATGCTTCAAAAAAAGAGAAATTCTCTTACCTTCTCAATATTTTCTCTTATAGCATATTTGCAGGCACGCTGACATATTTCAGTAATATCTGCACCACTAAAACCATGGGTATAACGTGCAAGAGCTACTAAGTCAACATCACGAGAGACAGGCGACTTTCGCAAACATGCTTTAAATATCTGAAGACGGGAAGCCTCATCTGGCAGAGGAATATAAATTAATTGGTCCAGACGTCCAGGCCTGAGCAATGCTGGGTCAATAATGTCTGGCCTGTTGGTAGCACCTATGATGAAAACTGTTTTTTTCGCTGTCATCCCATCCATTTCAGTCAGTAGTTGATTCAAGACTCTATCAGCAGCACCACCAGCATCTCCAACAGAACTTCCACGCTGAAAGTTGGACGAAAAGCCAAACATAAATGTCATTCAGAACAGTTAATAGAAGAAAAAAAGTGACTAATGAATTCTGTGTTGCTGTAAGCATTCAGAGGGAAATAGGGTGGAGAATCACAACTAGATTAGGTGCACCATTTGTCGAAGGCCAAGACAGATATGTACCTGCGTAGCAATAGAATCGAGTTCATCAAAGAATAGTACACATGGAGCTGACTGCCGCGCTTTGTCAAAAATCTCCCGTACATTTGCTTCACTTTCTCCAAACCACATTGTTAGCAACTCAGGTCCTTTGACACTTATGAAGTTAGCCTGACACTCATTGGCAATAGCTTTTGCAAGAAGGGTTTTACCACAGCCAGGAGGTCCATAGAAGAGAACACCCTTAGAAGGTGACATGCCAAATTTCTCAAATTTCTCAGGATGCTCCACTGGATATTGTACAGTCTGCCCCCAAAATATTAGTCACATGAGAGAAATATGACGAGTGGATAAAATAAAAACAAGGGGAAAACTAGTCTGCATATAAAACTTATTCATAAAGATAATATTAACTTGGGGACAAATTACAAACCTCTTGAAGCTCTCTCTTAACATTTTCCAACCCACCAATATCCTCCCATGAGACATTAGGAACCTCCACAACCTACAAATCAAGAATATGCATTTGTTATTCTCAGCAATCATTTAGTAGTTCTAAAAAATATGCCAGAAAAATCAATCAGAAAGACATGACAAAGATATTTTTAGGTAAGAATATGATAGGAACCCACCCCAACAACTCAAACAATTGGGTTGGGTCATGGGTCTTTCATGGGCTTGGGTAGAACTCTCCTTAGAAAACCAGCTTGCCAAGGGAGGGTGTCCAAGCCCTTATAACCCACATGCCACCCCTTTCCCTTCCAATGTGGGATCCTAACGTTCCACCATGTAGGCGACGTCCACGTGGGCGTAGGAACCTGGCTCTGATACCAATTAATAGGAACCCACCCCAACAACTCAAACAATTGGGTTGAGCCATGAGTCTTTCATGAGCTTGGGTAGAACTCTCCTTGGAAAACCAATTTGCCAAGGGAGGGTGCCCAAGCTCTTATAACCCACATGCCCACCCCTTTTCCTTCCAATGTGGGATCCTAACATTAATATAATGACTTGACAGATAAATGCATAAAACCATGCACTGCAAGCAGATTATAAAAGCGCTAACAACTTCCATTAAAAACTAGTATTTTGTAAATGTGATTGCACATATTTTTCCACAAGTTAAAAACTTTCTCAAAAAGATTATTCAACCAGAGTATTTTCTCTTCTGACAACCAAAAAGGTCATTGAAGGCCAAACAACACCGATTTGCATTAATTAGGTACATTATGACAAAAAAGAAGAAAAAAAAAACTTACAGTTTCACGCAAGGCTGATGGGTTTGAGATCCCCAATGCAGTTAGGAAGTGTTCGTTAGTTACAGCCATTGAATTCAACACCTCAGCATCAATTGTCTCATCCTCTAAGTCAATGACATCCATTTTCTCCCGGATACACTGAAGGGCCGATTCAGTACAGAGAGCAGCAAGATCTGCTCCCACATAACCATGGGTATCTCTTGCAACTCTTTCAAGATCAACCTAAAACATGCCATCAAATAAGAATGTGACTATACTAAAGAAAAAAGACATAAAATGATTTATAAAAGACAATGAGATGAAGCAGATAAGAGTCCTACATCTTCAGCAAGCTTCATGTTTCTTGTGTGGATTCGGAGAACTTCCAATCTTCCAACTTCATCAGGAACACCTATGTCAATCTCTCGATCAAATCTCCCAAATCTCCTCAAAGCAGGATCAATGCTATTTGGCCTATTTGTGGCTCCCATAACAATCACATGAACCCGGGACTTAAGGCCATCCATTAGAGTTAGAAGCTGGGACACTATACGCCTCTCCACTTCACCATGTGTCTTTTCCCTCTTTGGAGCTATGGAATCTAATTCATCAATAAATATGATCGCTGGGGCATTCTTTTCTGCTTCTTCAAATGCCTTCCTCAAGTTGCTTTCACTCTCACCAGCCAACTTTGACATTATTTCAGGTCCATTAATCAAAAAGAAGAAAGCACCTGTCTCATTAGCAACAGCTCTTGCAATCAAGGTTTTTCCAGAACCAGGTGGCCCGTAAAGCAAGATTCCCTTTGGGGGTTTCACACCAATTGATTTGAAGAGCTGAGGGTGTCTGAGAGGAAGTTCTACAAGCTCACGAATTTGAGCCATTTGCTTCCTAACACCGCCGACATCATCATAGCCTATTTCATTTAACCTCTCCTCATCCTCACGTTTGATGGGTTCCCCTTCACAGAAGATTTCAGTATCTGGTGCAACAACACAGTACTCCCCAGGGTCCGCCTCAATTACTTTAAACTCAACACTTCGCATTCCGCCCCTGACCAGGAAAAAGTCACCCTTTCTCACAGGCCGGTAAGATTCCAAGAAGTATGCTGTTGAAACAGGAAGAAATAATTAATAAAAACAGGATAGAATGAGACTGTTAGTGATGAATAAAGAATGACACTTACGCTTTAAATATGCATCAAATAAGTTGCCAGTTACACCCTCAATTGTATCATCAATGGGAAGGATATGAACCCGTCTCCCATATTTCACATCAGGGCACTGATGAACAGATACGACATCTCCAAGGCGAACTCTAAGATTAGAACGTACAACTTTGTTCATTCTCACTTTTGGTTCTTCACATTGTTCATCAGCAAGAACAATGCAAACAGTGTCTTTTCTTTTCTTTCCCTGCATAACAAAAAGAGCATTATAAATTCTCAAAAGAACACCCCCTCTTAGCAGCTAACTAGAAGGATAAAGCTACCTTAATCAAAACAGTGTCTCCTCGAAAAAACTGAAGCTTTTCCATGGTCGTAGGGTGCATGGAAATCACAGAATTGTCATCATTGACAGCTTCATCAACAACAAGACGGTTGGGAGACTTCTTGCGCTCCAGGATTGCGGTGGAAAAATCTTTCTTATCACTTTTCCTATTAGGAAGAAGTAATAATTAAAATTTAAAAAAAAAAACCGCCATGGAAGAGGAACACAGCATTCAACATATAGCTTTTAAGATGAAAAAGTTCACACTTCTACTGATCAACCCATGTTAAAGAAACGCAAAATTTATATAATTCAAACAGATATTCCCTAAAACCCTAACCTAACCCCAGAACAAATAAAAACAGAGCTTAACACCCTCGAATCAACAAATTATGTATAACACTGATTACTTCAAATAAAATCTAAACTTTCACAAGACAAGGTAAAACCGATACTCACAAAATTCCAGGAAGGCATAAATAAATTTGGAACAGAAAAGACAAAATAAAAAATCTAATACGTACGGGTTTGAAGAAGAAGATGGTTGGGCACTAGGATCAGCCATTGCTTTTGAATTTTGATTTTCTTAAGCTTCCAAGTTTCTTTCTCTCTTTCTGTAATTGGATTCTTCTAAATCAAAACTTACAGCTGATAAAGTAAGCGATCGGTGTGGGCTTGGCGGTTTATATAAGAGATTGTTTGGATTTCGGAAGTAGAACAGAGCAAGGACCCATGTTTCATTCGGACACTTGTCGTTTAGTCAATTACATGCAGCCACGTAGCGTCGGCGGGTGCCACATAAAACGACCTGTCGTTTTAGCTCTTGATTGAACAACTTTTTGCCGTTTCCTATGTATTCATAATCTCTCCACCTCACTCTTCCTACTTAAACGGCAAGTCGTTTTTCAATAACTAGAAACCGGCATGTCGTTTTTATGTCAGCTGCAGACCTGAAAATATGACTTCTATAACCGTCGCTCGTGTTTATATTTTCGATCAAAATTCTGTAGCCTGAACGAGAAAAGCAATGGGTGTCAAGATCGGGGGGCAAGTAGAGAAAGTGAACGGGAAAGAGCTGAGTTACAGTGAGTTTGTTGAGAGATATTTGGTAAAGAACCAGCCAGTAGTGTTAACAGGTTTAATGGATGATTGGAGAGCTTGCAAAGACTGGGTCACTCCTAATGGTCATCCTAATCTTCAATTCTTCTCTACCCATTTTGGAGAATCCAAAGTTCAGGTTTTATTTCCTTGCATATTCAATTATACCTTTGTAATTGTCTTTTGTTGCTTAATATTTCATTACTAAGAGTTGATAACAGAGTATATAATCTAATGAGGTTTTCTTTATCTGCTACTGTCTTCCTGAGTTAAATTGGACTAACTAAAATTTACTGCGTTTTATACTTTAATGTTATGTGATATTTTGATACTTGAAGGTTGCGGATTGTGGTACTAGAGAGTTCACGGATCAGAAGAGAGTAGAGATGTCTGTTTCGGAGTTTGTGAAGCACTGGCTTGAGAATTCTACTAAGGAGATTAGTGATAGTTCGACCAGTGAGGCTAATGGCATGTCCGTGCTGTATTTGAAAGACTGGCATTTTGTCAAGGTGAGAGTTCAAATTAGTTCCTTTAGTTGTATAACTGATTACTTATTGCTTTTCAAATTGGTAGCCTTTATATCAATATGATTTAGTGGAATGGTAGATTGCCTGCAGACTGCAATTGGTGTTAACTTGCTGTATGGCATACTTGACGGGTTCACACCTGTTATAGATGTTTGTAGAAAGCCAAGGTTTTGATGAGCTATCATCTTAAGAACGGACTTGTCAGCCTCAAAGATATAGAAGACAAAGTGTTAAGTCTGAGATCTAATATAAAAATAAATAAAATTTGTTTAGTTTCTTATGAGATAACCACCATGCCTTTCAAATGTTTTTCTTTTTTATAGACTGAGATAGATATCATAGTGATGCAAGACTGTGATTTTAACATGGAAGGGGTTGAAATGTGTTGTTTTTAAGTTGATGTTTTGTGTGGGATTCAGAGACATTTTTATATGTTCAAAGCAGTTTCGTCTGTTATTTCATCAGATCTTATATTGTCTTATTTGTTTTTCATTAGGGAAGGGTTAAATTAATAAATTAATTATTTAACATGGGATCAGATCAACAGAGAGGGTGTCACTTACCTCTAGTCATTAACGTATCTAGGTGAATATGTCAAAATATTAGTGGCTTACTGGCTTAACTTTCTCACTGGTTTTCTTATCCTCTTTAATCTGATTGTCAGGAGTATCAAGAATATTTAGCGTACAGAACCCCGCTGATCTTTTGTGATGATTGGCTCAATCTATATCTGGACAATTATCGTATGCATAAGGATCCTGATACTTATCAAAAGGATAATGAAATAAGTTGCTCTGACTATCGTTTTGTTTATATGGGAGCAAAAGGTTTGAGGGTAGATATTGTGAAGCCTATTTTTTCCTTGTTAGATATGGATACATTTAATTTGTTTTGGCATTCAACATTTACACTGGTTGTGCTTTGTTTGCTTGTGTTCTTAGTGTGAGAAAACTGCCAAATTTCATTTTTATTGCAGGATCTTGGACTCCTCTTCATGCTGATGTTTTCAGATCTTATAGTTGGTCAGCAAATGTATGCGGAAAGAAAAAATGGATATTTTTGCCTCCTTCTCAATGTCATCTTGTGTTTGATAGGTATTTATAATCTTTTTGCCTTGTAGATATATGAATAGATCTCCATTTGCTAATTTAACTTGGCCTTGTTCTGGAAATAGACAAATGTTGTTAAATGTATTATTTAACCTTTTTGTAACATGAAAATGAAGATAATTGGTTATAATGTTAAACGAGAGTGTCAAACCACCAGAAGAGAAGTTTTTATTTTTCTATATTTTTAAAAGAATAGAACCAGAAGAGAAACAGCCATCTTCATGCTTTGTATGAAGTTCCTGTGTTGCACGTATTGGAACCTGTACATGTTTATGGGATAGATTACAATAACAGATGCCTAGTTATCCTCTACATTGATATCCAAATTCCAGCAATGAACATATTCCCGACTTTGTCATTATTCCTACTCTATAATGTTCTTATGACTTGTTCTTTGGGCATGTTTCCTTCGAACAGCTAACTATAGCCACTCCATGTAAAAAAACAGGATGGGGAAACGAGTTTCTACCACATGTCCACTTTATTCATTTTCTAAATATTATGTCAATTTTATTTGCATTTAGATGGTATTTTTGGATTCTTAATCCACATATTGATGTTATAATAAATTACTTTCTACTTGTTCTATTTCCTTAACTCTGTTGGCTAACTTGGCTTTATATTTTGATTCAGGAATTTGAAAAACTGCGTATATGATATCTTTGACGATGTTAGTGAAACTAACTTTCCTGGTTTTAAGAAGGTAGGTCACCATTCTAGATCTTCAACTTGTATTTGTAACTTCTAGTCGCATATACTTGGTTTTATGTGTTTGTATGGTCATGTCATTTTGCAGGCTATCTGGTTGGAGTGCACTCAAGAAGAAAATGAAATCATCTTTGTTCCTAGTGGGTGGTATCATCAAGTTCAAAATCTGGTATTCTTCATTCTTTTGCCTTCTTTTGAATATGAACTAGAAATATAGCTTTTCCAGTGCTTTGTGACTTTTTCATTAAGAAAAGGATGCTAGTATTAGTTGAACTGAAGTTTATCATCTGATTTGACTGAATAATCTAATTAAATGTCTCTAATGTTAAAAATAAAATTGAACAGGAAAGAGAAGTAAAAAATGGTTATGAGATTTATCCAATGTCAGTGTATCGAGCATTGTGTTTTGTCCAACTTCTATCTCATTGTTAGCCTCTGATCTTTACAGCATTTGGATATTAGAACGTTTATTTGTATCTCTTATCATTCTGTAAATTGTTTATGCGTGGTGAATGGCTACATTTCCAATTTAACACATATTTGTTATGCTTCCAGGAAGATACAATATCCATAAACCACAATTGGTTCAATGCCTATAACCTTTCTTGGGTGGTAAGTGAAACTGCATCCAAGTAATTCTCGAAGTAAGATTAGCCCATGAAAAGCAAAAATGTAGGGAGCACTAGGGGTTTATATAATTGAATTACTTTTTAATGAATTTCATCTTTCTTTCAGTGGGATTTATTATTGAGGGACTATAACGAGGCCAAGGAGTACATAGAGGACCTCAGGGACATCTGTGATGATTTTGAAGGTCTATGCCAACGTAATCTTGCAGCTAACACAGGTATGGGTTAATCTTGAAGGACTACATTATCCAGTATGTATATAATAGATGTCCTATTGAATAGTTGCAAACGTGTGCCAATTCAGTTGATCTGAGTACATCTGGCTTTCATGATACCAAATAATTCTCCTCATTAAAACCTGATTAGAAAGTTTTCCAAGCTGAAACCAGCCTGTTTGATGCACAGAAAAGGTTATTTAATAGGATTACAACATAGTTTTTAATGTCCATTTGATTTCCTCTTATTCAAGTTTGTGGTTTTCTATCATTTTGGTGGGAAAGCAAAATTCCCTTGGGTTAGAGATTTGTTCTAAACTTCCTTCTTGTTAATGATAATTAAGTGACCACTAACTCTATGACTATGAACATGTTATAGTGCTAGTTGTAATTTAGGATTAGGAAGGATTCTTTTAATAAACCATATATTGTATTCTGATTGAATATCTTTCGCAGGAATGAACTTTAATGATTTCTTCACATTTGTATCACGCTTCACCTTACTCAATGTGGTCCAACTTTTCCAACTACTTAGAGACTCCAAGAATCCAATGCGGAGCTCATCCCCAATAGCTCAGCACTTAGCTTTGAACCTTCTATCCATACGGAAGATTGCACTGAAAATGAAGTGTGTAGTTATTCCATCAGGAAATTGTAAATTCTTTGTGGATTTGAGGGAAACTTTAGATGATCCTGAGTTTCTTAAACTGTGCATGGGCTTTTCCAAAATGTATGGAATGATACACAAGCTAGAAAAATGGAGTTGTGACATGAAGAAATCTTTGATGGTCGACCTCGAGGGCTACAGTTATTTGATTTCTACTGTTGAAGATCTCATTAAACTTATAGACTATGCTGCTGGAAAACTCAGTGACAATTACTCTGAGGAAAATATTTTGCTGTCTAAATTTGATGATGCCTGATTCTGACTACTCTGTCATTACTAACGTTCTGCCACAATTCAGGAAACTACTGAAGTGTTTCAGAAATGGAGATACCCAGGGACATGTATTTATACATCTATGTCAGTACAACTTAACCACTTAAATTGGTTGCTGTAGTAAATTTTCTTCTTTTTATGGGATCTACATGTTTAATTACCACTTTTTTGTTCTTTGTTTAGATACACTTTGTAATATCTGCCACACATTAGCCAGTCATTTCCAGAGTCTCACTTTATTGCAAAATCTGCAACCATACTTGCAGTAACAAGAGCATTCAAATTTGAAAAGCAGAGGTTGAAAAACCCGAAACATCTTTTTATTGTTTCATGATTTGGTATTTTTTTTTTCTCTCAATTGGACATTGTGCTATTCAACTGAAGAAAAAGCAGCCACATGAGAGACCAGCTTTTCTTTCTTCCTTTGCTTTATCTGATTAGACTGATTAGTCCCACAAAGTTTTGGTTTCGTTCCTTTTCATGCTAAAGCATCTTAGTATACTTTTTTTTTTTGTCGGGTTTATGTCAGGGCTGAAAAATGACCATACCATTTCATCACAATTTTCACAAAACATTCTATTTATGATCAATTACTGTATAATCTGAGCTGCAATATTCTTTTCCACTCTACGATACAAACACTTAATTCTGTTAGCTTATAGTTGTCAAGCTTTTTTACCTTATTTGTTAGTTCATCTTTTGTGACGCATTTTTCAGTTGTTATAAATTTGCCTTTGTAGATTAAGTGTTGTCTCTTTCAGAAAACCCATTTCTTTAATCAGTTGAAGTTGATATATGGGATTAGTTGACAGAGAAGATTAGGTTTCAGTGACATATTGACTTCCACCTGTCTCAAGAGGGAAGTGCCTGTCTTCTTTCTAACAAAATAGAAAGGGACAATATGTTGCCATAAAATATATATTCTAATTTAATACTTCAATACTACTTAATTCGTGCCATGTTGATGCAGTTCGGATTGACTGTATTTTTACTTTTTTTTTTTTTTTTTTTTTCTTTAGAATATAGTAATGGCAAGCAGTCAGCACAGAAACAATAATAAATAGTGGTTAGTGAGATTCATTGGTTTGTTTTAATTTATAATCTTAGAAAACTAAGAGCAAGTTGACAATAGTATAATATTGTACAGAAGGTTCATTCGGCTTGAAGTCTGGGCCCCTTTAAAACTTNCTCTGAGGAAAATATTTTGCTGTCTAAATTTGATGATGCCTGATTCTGACTACTCTGTCATTACTAACGTTCTGCCACAATTCAGGAAACTACTGAAGTGTTTCAGAAATGGAGGTACCCAGGGACATGTATTTATACATCTATGTCAGTACAACTTAACCACTTAAATTGGTTGCTGTAGTAAATTTTCTTCTTTTTATGGGATCTACATGTTTAATTACCACTTTTTTGTTCTTTGTTTAGATACACTTTGTAATATCTGCCACATTTTAGCCAGTCATTTCCAGAGTCTCACTTTATTGCAAAATCTGCAACCATACTTACAGTAACAAGAGCATTCAAATTTGAAAAGCAGAGGTTGAAAAACCCGAAACATCTTTTCATTGTTTCATGATTTGGTATTTTTTTTTTCTCTCAATTGGACATTGTGCTATTCAACTCAAGAAAAAGCAGCCACATGAGAGACCAGCTTTTCTTTCTTCCTTTGCTTTATCTGATTAGACTGATTAGTCCCACAAAGTTTTGGTTTCGTTCCTTTTCATGCTAAAGCATCTTAGTATACTTTTTTTTTTTGTCGGGTTTATGTCAGGGCTGAAAAATGACCATACCATTTCATCACAATTTTCACAAAACATTCTATTTATGATCAATTACTGTATAATCTGAGCTGCAATATTCTTTTCCACTCTACGATACAAACACTTAATTCTGTTAGCTTATAGTTGTCAAGCTTTTTTACCTTATTTGTTAGTTCATCTTTTGTGACGCATTTTTCAGTTGTTATAAATTTGCCTTTGTAGATTAAGTGTTGTCTCTTTCAGAAAACCCATTTCTTTAATCAGTTGAAGTTGATATATGGGATTAGTTGACAGAGAAGATTAGGTTTCAGTGACGTATTGACTTCCACCTATCTCAAGAGGGAAGTGCCTTTCTTCTTTCTAACAAAATAGAAAGGGACAATATGTTGCCATAAAATATATATTCTAATTTAATACTTCAATACTACTTAATTCGTGCCATGTTGATGCAGTTCGGATTGACTGTATTTTTACTTTTTTTTTTTTTTTTCTTTAGAATATAGTAATGGCAAGCAGTCAGCACAGAAACAATAATAAATAGTGGTTAGTGAGATTCATTGGTTTGTTTTAATTTATAATCTTAGAAAACTAAGAGCAAGTTGACAATAGTATAATATTGTACAGAAGGTTCATTCGGCTTGAAGTCTGGGCCCCTTTAAAACTCATCTTTTTTGTCGTTCTGCACATGCAAACCCATATGGAAATAAGTAATGGCATTGGGGTTGATTTTTAAGTAGAAATGGCAAAAAACAATATAAAATAAAAGCACACCAGCTCACTGCATTTCATAAAGTAGTTGTTAAGGTGATATGAATATGCTGAAAAGTGTAGAGAAGAGACAAGTGTCCACAAAACCCAATGCTATTAACAATCTTTTATGATTATTAAATTTACATAATCATAATGGGGTAGTGATGAGGATGATGATCATCCTGTGAGAAAACCTTTCTTTTTTTTCTTCTAAAGGGAAATTGGAGAAATACCCATAAAAAAAAAAAAAAAAAGTAAAAAAAATGAAGAAAAATCAAGCTTATCTTTACCTATATATATATGATTTTCATGGACACCTAACATTCCTACCAGGACCTCCATAATAAAAGTAAGTTCCCCATACATTATTTCTACCTTGTCTTATATCATAACAATTTGGATGATCGGCCAAGAGGTGAAGATTTGCTAAGGGAATCAAATTATTATCCCAGTCAACACCCTGCAAGTTTCTGAAATAAGATGCTTTTCCGAATCCTTCTTCTGCAAAATGGCCACTACCCATTTGTGTACCAGTATGGTAACCAGATGATCTTAAGTTCACTATTTCTCCTCCAAATTGAACCATGCTCGCATGGCTTCTCAAATGACTAAACAAAAATGAAGGCCAATATCCAACTAACAGCCCTGACCCGAACTCTAGCCACCAGTGTCCATGCTTTGGATCCTGCCAATATGCAAAAAATGAATAAACGTCTCATGATGATTTCTCAACGGCAAACATAATGAGTTTTGCTTCTGTTTAATTGTCCTCTTATCCAAACTATGGTGGGAGACACAAGTAACGATAGAACTAAAGAGTAAATCCAGATGGGAAGAAAAATTAACCCAAAGTACCATCTGGGATTAGTCTAGTAAAGTTACTAACTTTAATAAAGAAAAAAGAAAACAAAAGTCGATGCAACTATGAAAGCTTTGAAAAGAAAGAGAATCTTTAGATTATAATATTTAGAATAGGAAAAGAATCAAGTAGAAAAATGTCAAATACTTTGATCATTCTTTTGTTTTATTAAATGACTATAGCACAGTATAACGTAACCACTAAGGAGTCAATCATATTGGATGATCAAACCTTTTGGAAAACGTTTCAAACAATCTAAGTAGTTGCAAAAGTTAAAAAGACTTCTAGCTTAACCGACAGAATGTTTTAATTGAAATTATTTCATATCATGGATTGCATTATCTTAAACTTTACGCTTATTGAATGTTCCTATTTACCTTCCAAATCATAAAACCAATATCAAATTGTCTTCCATTGTAGGACGATCTTGGAGAAATTGCTGCTCCAATTGCAATCTTGTTGTTGGTTTGGACAAAGCCAGAGCAGAGTAAATTGTAGCATCCAGTGGCTTGGTATGCATCAGTCTGTAAAATTACAAAATCAACGAGGAAAGCTACTACTTTATTTAACTTTAGGATCAAAATAAGAAGAGATACTTACAGTCCAATAAGTGAAGAATCTAGGATAGTTATCTCCATATAATTCTGGGCTAACCTGATGAAATTAATATGAATGCCCATAGCTTATTAGAATCATTTGAAATTTCATAATATGCCAAACACAAACAAGAAACAGTAATGGAAATACTGGTTTTCGGAAAATTTAAACTTTCAGATTAAACGTACCTGCCAACCGGCTTCAATGGTGTTGAGATCATGGCCAAACGAACCAGAGATGATCCATATTTGTGACAAGCTGAATTCATAAGCATCATTAACGCGTGGTGACCACACACTTAGACTGGCCTTAGCTCCATAATATTGTTCCCCATTTACGAATACGACTGCATGCTGTCGTTGAATATGAACTATAAGAAACCATAAACCAAAGCTTTTCCACGATAAAGCATAACCCAGTTTCTATGGTTCAATTTAAAGGTGTTTATAGACTCTTAACCCATTAATTTTCTAAAGTAAGGCCTCCCTAGAGACAAGGTGAAGAAAAATCAACGGTTCTGATACTATTATTGCAAACTTTTGCAATTAATGTCTCTTCACTGCCTTGTTTCTGTCTTTTCAGCACCTCTCAATCCACTGTTTGCTTACAGTGAAAATAGATAGGAAAAATAAGATGTGCCTTTTTCATGGAAACTAGTCTTTTTGTAGAGGGGTTCGTGGAAGAAGAATAAAGGGGAAATGATATGGAAATAAATAAAAAGGAAAAAGCAATTTTCTTCCATTAACAGTTGAATGGCTAAATCCATGAAGAATGTAAAACTTCAAATGGAACTTGGTTTAGGAACAAACCTCATGGCCATTGCCTGTTGAGTCTCTCCTTACATGTCTCCTTAATTTTCTTCCAAATCTTTTAATGGAACTTGCTCTTAAAACATCTTTCTCAGTGGTTCTTCTGATAGGAACAGTTCCTTCTGGGCATGATTCACCTGAAATTGTCCATAGCTGAAAGGTCTCAGTCTCAGTTATTGTTTGTGTCGTCTCATGGCCTTTTGGCCTTTCTGGTGGATCCTGCCAAACCAATATCTTGTTTTCAAGATTGAATAACCTGAATATATAATTATATTCTTCGCCTTAAGTCTCCAAGACTGGAGAAAAAATTAATTGAAACAAACAGAAAAATACCAATGGCTTCTGTCCTTTAAGCTCCGGATGGTCAAAAGCTGGTTGAAGATGAGATAAAACACAATCTATCACATCGCCATCAGGGCTCTGCAGCAAGAAAGAACAAAAACTCAGATCAGAAAATTACAACATAATTAGAAAAAAAAAATTAATCTTTACGCAAAAGAACAGCACCAAAGACAAAAGAGAATGCCTGAATTGTCTTCACTGCAGGCTTGTTGACTTTCTTCAGATAGGCAGTGATTCTCCTAAGCTTTAGAGTCTCCTTACTAGGCCGGAAAGTTTGGTTCGCCGGTATCCGGTGACCGGAATCTGAGAGAGTGGACACTGACTGAACAGGGCTAAGTGAAGAAGAAGCAACAAGAAAAAAAACAAAAAATGATAGAAGAGAAAGTTTGTTGCGAAGAAAAGTAGAAGAAGCCATTTTTGAAGAATGTATTTGTGCAGTTGTTTGTTTTGGAAAGAAGGGTAGTGTTTGTATACATTGGAGTTGTCCTCTTGTGTCGTAACACAACATGGTGTATTTATTCGAAACTTCTTCTGTCAATGGAAAATGAATCTCTTCATGTCAATACAAAACAGAAAGAGAGAGAGAGAGAGGAAGCCGAAGCACAATTTATTTCAATGCCTCACCATTCTGAACATATGAATAATGTTACATTTCCACCCTTTTTTTATATCATTTTGGATATATATCATAATCATATAAATTTTATTATACTATTAAAAATTTAAAATAATTAAAATTTTATATAATTATAATGAAAATAATATTACTATAACAAACTCTCACTCTCTCTAAGAGAGATTCTGGTGCCTCGATTTTGTCTTCTGACAACAACAAGAAACTTCAGGCAACCAACTTATTAAAATACTTGTCTCCCAAGTTTTTTTTACCCATAAGCGGTAACTGGATTTTCCTGACTCTCTCGTTGCCACGCGGCTTCCAGTCTTCAAAATATTTGTTTATTTTTAAAGTTTTGCACGCGTCAGGGTAGTTCCCTCATTTTATTGTGAAATAATACTTCCCTTCTTGGTTATGGAAACAGCCCATATTCAACCCCTTTTTTTTTTATTCTAACATTAAAACTTACAAAAATATTATCACTACAATTCAATCTTACAACATTCTTTTACAACTTTAACATAACAACAGAGTTAACACAATCACATTAATTGACGACTTTAATTAAATATGAATTATTATTCTTTAGAGACAAATGGTCGTTTCTGATCGTTCGTTCCTAAGAAATAATTGTTCATGTTTAGTGAAAGTCATTTAGTGTCGTAGATACGGTGTGAGTTGACGTTACAATTGTCAACTCAACTGCCACGTTGGACTTGTGCGAAAATGTTGTAAGATTGAGTTGTTGAGACAGTATTACTCCAAAACTTAATTGTGAAAGGATAATTTTATCAATTCACCTCACATATATAACATTACGGGCACAAAAAACTAATCTAACATTATGAATTGACAAGATTGCCCTTTCAAAAAATAGGGGTACTTCCGAAAATAAGGGGGTAAAAGTTATGTTGTGATAGATTTGGGGTGAAAATGTGATTCAGCCTTGCAAGAATTTGCGTTATGGTTTGTGTGGGTGACAGAGAGCAGAGACTTCTGAGTTGGATTCAGATTGACCATGTTTTGATTTTTCAGAAGAAAAAAAAAAAAGAGATGACATTTCTTTCTTTCCGAATTTACAATTACCATTTTTTACAATACAGTTATGGGAATTTAATTACTTAATAATTAATATAGCTTTGAGCTTTCTCCTTTTTGTCTACCTTATATGTGAAACCAAAATTTGACAGAACAGTCTTCTCCCCCTGTAGCTTTCAGTATTATTTTTGTTCATAGTTTATGTTGTTCTGACAATTGTAATTAATACAGTAGGATACAGTATTATATTCTAGTGGTGGTGTAGGTGTAACCCAGTGAGTAACCACAATGAAATGGACTATTCATGTACGCATACTTTGTACTATAGTATCGCTGGGCCACATGAAATGATAATGTCAAGAATTTCATGATGAGGAAAATAAAATAAATTGCTTTCCAACGTGCCCAATTTTTCTTTTTCTTTTTTGACTCTTGGGTATAATGTTTGGAGATGAGCAAAAGGGGCCTAGTTATGATTTCCCAATAAAATGTCTTTGCACGATGAAAACAAATAAAACAATTGTTTATTAATGAGGTGATTAAATTATCAATCTACTCGAGGAAATGATAAAAATAAATGCAATGGGACCATGCAGGACTGCATTCATTGATGAGGGCCTGGGCCGTAATTGTACGGTTCTATGGTCAGAGGTAAATTGAATCATGGTCAAAGAAAGAAGGAAGAATATTGTCAGTAAATATTTTTTCTTACTTTCTTTTAAGTGGAATGTTAGAGCTGTACAACTTTCTTTCGCAACCTTTATTACGTTATTAATCAGTTTATAAAATAAGTCCCACTTATTTATATGAGTCTTATTACCCATTTAAGAGCTATATCAAAAATTATAAAAGACGATTGTAAGATTTGAGTTATGAATATATCATTATTGTTTTCTTATTTCCCAGAAGTTGGAGAGAAAAACTTTACCCCTTAACAATTTGGTCAATTGTCTGGATCCTCTATTTTAAAACATTATATTCACGCTAATTTGTAACATTTTACATAATCTGTTAATTGAAAGGTTTTTCCATTCAAAAGCAAGAATACTCCTCATTTCAATATTGTTCTCTTTTTTTTTTTTTTTTTTTGAATCATTGAAGATACTTAGTTCAATTTATACGTATCTCAACGAATCCTTTGAAACCCTGAAATTACTGGCTGTATAAGAACTCTAATTGCCACCTCTATTAATATCTGGAGAGACTCAAACTTAGAAACTCATAAAACCTTATTTTGCTCTTTTACTATAAGACTATCCTGTAATGGTCAAAATATATTATTCCAATTTTGAAAACCCATATTTTAGGTTCGGACCATCTATTTCTTCTTAATAAGAGATGCATCCTAATACTTTAAATTGTAAGACTTGGATAATGGAGCTAACCTCATGGAGTAAATATAATTAACTCTCAGCTGTTGGGAATCTCCAGATTAGATTCTAAATTCTCCACCACCAACAGCTTCAATGTAGAAAATATATATCTTTACCAAAGTGGGGTGAAAGTGCCTAGCCCTTTAAGCTAATAACCTGTCCTTTGTCTTATTATAGGTAATTAAAGATAATTATGGGTTAAACTTTAATTAAATTCGTTAACGTAAATGCAATGGATTTTGGGAGCAGAAAGTTATGGGGCCTTAGCCAGTTTATGTTATCTTTTTAGGGTTCTGGGACATGGTGCTTCCCACTTTTCTCCCTTGGAATGACTATTCTTAATTCATCTTCTCTTCTTTTCAGAAATGCCCACCATGGCAAAAGAGCTCATTCATTCATCCACCTCCAAGTCCAAAGAGGTCCACACAGACAGAGAAATTAAAGTCACTTTCATTATAAACAACTGGCAACTAGAAGATGTACCATTAAGGTATTGTTCTCGGTGGAGGGAGGCATGCTCCTGTATAAAGTTAGTTGGTCCGAAAGAGAGAGAGAGAATAGATTCCAGCCCCACAATCTAGAATTTTAAAAGATTATTCATTTTTTGAACACCACAGTCCGTCCACCCATTTTATTTATTAAATGTTGTTTTAGTGATATCAAGGGCAGTGTAGTTTTATGATGTTGGTGAAAAAGGCTGCCATTGCCATGCTTTCTGAAGATGAGTACAACCCATTTGAAACTTGAAAGTTGCACTGTAAAGGAATTGGATACTTTCAAAAACACAAGCTCAAAGAATTATTTCTTATATCTTCAATCATGTCGGGTGACTTGGGTTCCAGCTGAAGTGGCGAGGAGTAGTTTTGTATTGTCACCATTTCTACAACAGGAAAAAAAAAAAAAAAAAAAAAATTGGCACCACTTGATAACCCTAAGATAAAAAGCAAAAAAAGTTTTATGAACCCCTAAGTTCGAGTTCTCCAAGAATTATAGATGATATTGTGTTTTACCCGACCAACAGTTCCAAAGCTATGGAAGATTGTTAGGTACCTCAAGCTAGTCAAACACCCTTGGTGGTAAAAAAGAATCATTGGATCCATTAATGGAAGTTTTACAATAATGTTTTCAAATAAAGAAAAGGAATAATTTGTATAAGAACAAGACTAACAAGCATGTTTCTAGTACAAATATAAGAAGAGCTTCAAGTTTTTGTAATCTTGCTTTCTAAAACAAATAAAGTATGCTAATACTAATTACTTTTGGGTGACTGAGTGATTTGATATGGACTCTTGGGTGAATTACTCAAGAGATCTTAAGTGTATTACTTAGAGTCTTGAGTTCGAATCCCTCATCGAGTGTTAATAGGGTAGCCTTAGAGCTCTTACTCGGCCGATGTTCTAAGTTTTAGGAAATTGTTGAGGTGCGCATAAATTAGCTTGAATACCTCCGTTCATAAATAATAATAATAAAAGTATGCTAATACAGAATTTATCAATAGAAATGGATGAGACCCTTAAACACATTTTTATTATCTAGAAATGACAATAATCTACATTTTGATTAGTCATCACGATCTAAGCCTCATGATGAGATAATATGAGAAGTAATAAAACTATATCAAATCTTACATATTATTTGAGACATCCCACATCGCTTGAGAAGGAGGGGCCTAAGTAGAGTGGATATTGGAACTGAGTCCAAAACCAACCCAAAAACCTGGCCCTAGGACTGGTCCTTGAGAGGATCGGTCCTAGGAGGCCTGTCCCAAAACGGACCAGGCCTACGGAGGAGGACCCGGGCCCTCCTTCAGCCAGGCATGAGCCCAAATTTTTTTGAATTTTTTCATTTTAGTCCCTATATAATTACTAACCCCTTATAAATTTTAAATAATAAATTACAAGGGTTAAAAATAAAATTTATTTAAAAAAAAAAATTTACGCTGCCAATGGTTATATTTTTTTTTTAACCGTTGGCTACCAGCCAATGGTTATATTTTTATTAAACATTTTTTTTTTTCCCCCCCCCCCCCCCCCCCCCCCCCAAAAAAAAAAAAAACCGTGCCTAAAAACCCAGTCTTAGGAGGCCTAGTCCCAAAATGGGACCAGGCCTACGGAGGAGGACCTGGGCCCTCCTCCAAGCCAGGCATGGCCCCAAATTTTTTTGAATTTTTTTAGTTTAGTCCCCTATATAATTACATAAAACCCCCTATATATTTTAAATAAACATAAATTATAAGGGTTAAAATGAAATTTTATAAAAAATAAAAAAATTTTACTAACCGTTGGCTGCTGCCAACGGTTATAATTTTGTTTTTTAACCGTTGGCCACCAGCCAATGGCTATAATTTTTATTATGACATTTTTTTTTTTATTTACACCCCCCCCCCCCCAACTACACTATAAATAACCCTAAAATCTTTCATTTTTTCCACACCAATCAATCTCTCAATTTCTCTACTCCAAATCTCCAATCAAATTCTCATTCAATTTATATTTATAATTTATTCATATTATTTATTTATATTATTCTATTTTTTTCTGTTTTTCAATATCATCACAATTTCATATTATTATTTAATTTCTTTTTATTTTAATTATTTATTATTTTATCATAAAT